AACAACAACAACAACAACAACAACAACAACAACAACAACAACAACAACAACAACAACAACAACAACAACAACAACACAACAACAATAATAATAATAATAATAATAATAATAATAATAATAATAATAATAATAATAATAATAATAATAATAATAATAATATCTTAACGTGCACAGTAACAACAGTAAAGTTTTTGTGCTAGCAGCAGCAAAATAAATTATTAGTAAATAAAGATAAAAGTAACAAAGCCCACAGCAGAGAATACGTAAAACAAAAAGAAAAATGTAAAACATAAAAATTTCTTGGCAATCGGACATTTTACCATGACACAACAAAAGAAAGTTAAAATGATAATGTCAAATACAGTCAATACACAACAAAGCACAGGGTAAGCTGCAATATAAAGACGGAGAAAATAACTGCTACAATGTGCGACGCCATGTTAAGAAAGCGCACAGCTTGGAATAAAACGACGACAGTGAGTTACGAGAAATAAACCGGATCCAAAGAATCGGCATTATGAAGCTTTGTAACCCCGTCTATTGAATGTCTGCCGAGGCAGGCAGGAACATGTAAAGGTGCACGCTTCCTGCAGTGGTTATCTTACGTGGAATGCGATAAACAATAGAACTCAGCAGTTCCGGGCAGGTTATCCTCCAAACGTGCCTGGAAAGAAATAGCAAATCAGCGCGACTTCGGCAGCGGTGAAACAACGTCATTGACGATAATCCGACAGTGCCAGAAAAAGATCCAGAGTAGTTTATAACAAAGTGATAGCGATATAACCGCAGGAAGTTTTAAAGCGATAGCATTTGGAAGCTCGCCTCGCAGCAATGACCATGCCCGGGGTGGCGTCGTTGGTTGAGAGCGACAGTTGGCGTTTTCTATGAGCAAAAATTCCACAGAGATGCAAAGTATTATAAGTAACAAAACATATTCGGCTCGAGTGATAATCGAACCAAGGCGTTCTGCAAGGCAAGCAAGGTTTTATATCATGGAGCCACGTCGGGTCTTGAAACTGTTTTGCAAACAAACGCTATAAGAATGCGTGTAATATTGCCTGTCAGAATCGCATCAGGCGAAGAATATATGCGCCATGACTGGGGGCTTTAAAGCTGCCCATCCGTTACAATGTCTGCGACTGCGCACGTGCGCATGTCAACGTGCCGGCGCGTATATGTGCTTCGCCGATTTCGCAAAATGAGGAATTATGACGCAGTGGACACTTCGTAATCGAACTTGTAGTAGGCATTATATTGTAACAACCAATGCGCACCCAAATGTTCCTTCTTTTCCTGGAGGCCCGGTGGAAGGCGATGCGCACGAACCCTGATTACGCGTTCTTCTCTTGAAGGTGAAGCTAAAGTGTCCTTTTCAAGTTTTTTTCTAGAACCTTTAGACAGAGTTACTGTTGGATTTGGAAATTACGTCCAAGATCACAGGCGCATCATTATCAAGATGCCTGAAATTCTACTATAAGCTAGAAAAAAAAAATATTACCACTGCTTCGCGTATATACCCGCACGTAAGATACGACGTCTGCCATAGGCGTTTGAAGCATATGTCTTCAAGTATAAAGTTTAGCTCAGTCACAGCCAGAAGCGCGCCATTAACCCCGAAAAAGAACACTGCCGTCGCTGCGGTCGCGGTGATGTGACGTCACGGTGAGGACACGCCTACTCCGCCGCCGCTTATCGCCTTTTTCTGCGCCCGCCATGAACCCGCCCTTTAGCGATACGGTGGTGGTTACTCTTGAATGTCGTGACGCAAATCTCTCCAGGTACAAGGTGGAAGGTTTCACAACTAGTGAAAGTTATTCAAGCTGTGAAAAGTTGTCGTAATTTAGAAAATCTAGGTAGTCAAAGTTAATCCGGAGTCACCCACTGCGGCATGCCTCATTCAGCGCGTAAAAACCCAGCAATTATTATTGTTTCTGTTAACTAGAGTCTTTAACTCTGCTCACAGTGAAAGGCTACTCGTGGATTAAATAAGAGACGGAGACACGTACAGTGCTCTCTTGAGTGCTATCGATTTGCATGTATCCCCACGTGACAATAAGTTCCAAGAATATTGCGCTGCATTGCAGGATCTCCGTCTGAATTCAGTAAGGCTGGCTCCCTTGGGTTGTTGGTAACGCATTTCCAAGGTATGTTTGTGGAGCGTGCACAAAATAAGCCTCGAAGGCAGGAAAAGACAAATACATGACTTGCTACTTTGCAGAAGTGTATATCTGTAGCCGTGAGCATGATATATTGTCGTATCATAATAGCAACACAGTCTAAGTTTCAACGCTATTAAAAAAAAATCGGCAGATCGCACGTTCCTGGGAATCGACGTTATTCGAAGCATGCGGAGGGAAGGTGACCGTGTTGCAACTTTTTTCATTGGACGACACGTCATAAAATGACGCTAAATATACGTACAAATGTTGCACGCACAGAAATATGTTGAAGACTTGCAGATTTTTATATAACCATTTGTTTGCACTTGCACTATACGATGCCAACAGGAAAATGCGTATTTGCAACACCAGAAGCTTATATGAAGCGCTGATGCTCGTGAGGATGCTGGCCCTGGACACTGCTAAATAAATCAGCTTTAGCGCATGTCAACTAATCACAATTGACGTTAACCCGACGTGACGACTGCATCAAAAAATACACATGTAATGTTTATAAAATTGGGTTGGCAGCACTGCAACCACTATAGAAATTTCACGAAGATTAGCGTCTATTTAAAAAGTAGTTCCGAGACCTGGCGTAGCTCTGTGGTAAAAAGCTTCATTGCCACGCAGTATTCTTAGGTTTGCTTCCAGCTGGAACCCTGACATTTGTTCTTTGCATTCCTCGGGTCCACGCTACCGATGTGAGGTATTTCTTAGCGCTCGCGCGTTAAAGTTGCCTATGTGTCTTCTCGTCGTTCCTGGGTGTAGATACTAAAGTTTGAATCACCTGTGGCACATAGCCGCGGCACATACTCGCCCGTGGGTAAGTGCCACTGTCTGGCGGGAAGTGTTTGACGACGTACGCGACGGCATTGTGGCATTATTCATGTCTTGACCAGCGCGTCATTTTTGTCAAACCATCTTACCTTCCCATGCTAATTTTGCTTCACGCCAAGTTAAGGGGGTGACCACGAGAGTACCCGAACGTAAGCGGCTAGATAGATACGCTCAATGTTGCCGAAGTTCGCTAAGAAATGCTTCGCACTTAAAAAGCGATGCGTGATCTTTCTATGAAGTTGCATGATCTTTCTATGTACTTTTGCTTAGTTTTACTAATGTCGATGGCATAAGAAATATATTGTGTCGACGGGCTCTTCCGGTAATAGACATCTATTTGCGATAAAGAGCTCCGTGTGTCCGTCCACTTTCGATTTTTTTCGAAAACCACTGGCCTTTATGCGTTTGATCTGTCATAATAGAATAAAAAAAGTTTTTCGGCAATTAATCTACATAAGGAAGTCATTGCATTATTTTGGCGAGAGATGCAATTTTTTTAATGTACGCATGCGACAAAAATGATTGATCGATATGTGGGGTTTAACGTCCCAAAACCACCATTTCATTATGAGAGACGCCGTAGTGGAGGGCTCCGGAAATTTAGACCACCTGGGGTTCTTTAACGTGCACCCAAATCTGAGCACATGGGCCTACAATATTTCCGCCTCCATCGGAAATGAAGCCAGCGCAGCCGGGATTCGAACCCGCGACCTCCGGGTCAGCAGCCGAGTACCTTAGCCACTAGACCACCGGGTTGGGGCCATGCGACAAAAATCACATCAGAATTTTGTTATTAAGACGTTGCTGGTAACCCTATAAGGTGATGTTCTTTGTGTACCATTTTCGTTTTATTTTCGGGTGCTTTGATCTTAGGCATGATTGTGTATCAATTATTGCTGAAATGTTGTTTGTTCTCTGTGTACAGGCAGTGCGGTGCTGTTCATGCCGTCAACTTCTGAGCTGGGGAATGCGTGAGTGCTACAGAAACGCTGACACTATAGTCCCGCCCTCTTTCCTCATTTGTGATAAGGAAGGCTTAACCCAATATAGTGCGCTTGAGCCGTAGACCTGTCACATACCACAAACGATGGCGCTTAGTTGCTGCGTTCAGCCGTGAAAAATGCGTAACGAAACGCACTTGGTCTTAAACAGATATATTGCACAGTTGATAATAGTTAATAACTAATTAAGTATGTAATCCACGCATCTTCATGTAGTGAATCATGACGAGTCGTTGAAGCTATATTCCATAACGTGTACGTTGAAGTCGCTGACTAGTATGAAATGTTAGTGTTTTTAGGCGTTTTATATTGTTTTTCCATTGTTATAATTTATTGTTAAACCTTCTTTTGTTTTCGCATATCTTTTGACTATACCGTACGCCCGCCGAGTGGTGCCCCATATAAATAGCCGCGACAACGAACACTGGACAAGCCTCGCCTTTAAGGTACTTCGCCCCTAACAAAAAAAAAATACCCTAACAAACGTCATGTGATGGCATGTGTGTAATTGGCTTCATTTACTTGCGTCTGATCACTTAAAAAAATCTTGGTTCTTGTTACGTGAAACACCTTGTATACAGATATCTCATTACTATTTTATACTAAACAATCGTATGTTGATAACCTTTGACGACTATTCGAGCATGCTATTGCTCTTGCATTACGAGAAAAAAAAAGTAAGCGGTTGCGATATTCAGGATAAATGATAAAGGCAGAAGAGCATAGCACCAGTGAAATGATTGGACTGCGTTGTCGTCTGCTTGAAGTGTCTTTCACAGTGCTATATGCACACATTTACCTTGTGTTTTTCCTACACACCTCCGTTACTGATAACACGTACTCTACTTATCTAAACGTGAGCCAGTTTTTTCACAGATAATCGCTTTGTTTCCTCCGACTAGGCTAATGAGAGAAAAAAGGGAGGTGTTGCTTGAGGCAGGCCAATGAAGAACAAAGAGATATTTCATAGGTGAGTGCAAGGCGTCACTTCGCACTTATCAGTCTTGCGCGCTGTGCAAATCACACAAGGTATCGAGACAGCTGTTCTCTTTTGTCTGATAACTAGCCGTATAAAAACACCCAGCAAGAGAACTCTGCACAGAGCTCGGGGAAGACGCCGTGAAAGGTAAGCCTGCTCTCTTTTTTCACGTGCCTGTGTATTATCTCTAATATACGTACTACAGCACTAAGTAACATAACCCACTGATTCATTCCCATGTCCATTGGTGAAGAAAAAAAGAACAAGTGCTCTGTCTTTAATTCAGCTTTGGAAGATTGATTGATCGAGTGATATGTGGGGTTTAACGTCCCCAAACCACCATATGATTATGAGAGACGCCGTAGTGGAGGGCTCCGGAAACTTTGACCACCTGGGGTTCTTCAACGTGCATCCAAATCTGAGCACATGGGCCTACAACATTTCCGCCTCTATCGGAAATGCAGCCGCCGCAGCCGGCATTTGAACCCGCGACCTGCGGGTCAGCAGCCGAGCACCTCAGCCACTAGACCACCGCGGTGGGGCTCAACTTTGGAAGTGCGTGCTGTCCACAACGTTAGAAGGGCCTGTCATAATTATTCTGTTCTCGCACATGGTTTAAATAGTGCTTCAAGATGAAAAGTGGTGAATAGTGAGTACTGAACGTTTGTGACAAGCGTTCTAAGCAGCAGTAACTAAAAGTACATATATCGATGTTTTACTCGCGATAAATACGGGCGTTGCGCACTTCATAAAAGGTGAGTGTGTACAAGACTTGCCACTCGTCGATATGGGAAGTACGAAACCTTGTCCCACTAGGGATCGGTGAGAAGCGTTTCCGATCCCAAGCGGATCGGAAGCGCCTCTCGTCGATGCAGCCTTGATACGAAATGCGGCTTTCGTCTTTATACTGTACCTCTTTCTCTTGCGCAGTAACATTTTTCTTTCAGTATTAAAGGTTTCTTTTTTACCCTTGTGGCTAAGACTCTTAGTCTAAGGCTGTACAAATAAATTACTGTATGTGACAGTGAGGTGCGATTCCAATATCAGAGAAGTCGTACTCCAGGGCTGTGCACTACTTATGACCCATGGTGCGTCCTACAATATCAGACGTATGAGAGTGGGACTGCTATTAGATGATAGCTACTCTTAGCATAAATTGCGTTGACTTGCCTCAAAGGGATGTAAAGAAAAGACAACCTTCATTCGGCCTCTAAACGATTTAATTTTGTATCGTAAGGGTGAGGGTACGTGTTAGCAGAAAAACACTCAGTACCTCTCACCCTGTTTTCTATACCCACTAAACTACATGAACGGAGGGGCTTGAGTACGGACCAATTAGGAACTATATTTGTATGATAGGTTTTGTGAGTACACGTGTCCTATGTGCATTTGCTTATGCAATATGTTGAGGAAACGGTTTTCAAGATAACGTTATCTGGAAAGGAACACAGACAGAGCTCATGTGCATGTCTTAAATCTTGCCGATAGATCTCTTTCTTCCCCCATGTACTGTGTGATATCAGTGCACGTTAAAGTACACCCGATGGTCGAAATTTCCGAAACCCTTCACTAGTCTCATAATCATGTCGTGGTTTTGGTATCTAGAACCCCAGGTATTAATACTTTTATTAGTCTCTCTCTTCCCAATTTTAACAAAGCTGCGTTTATGAAGTTTCCGTTTAAATCAACATCTCAAATTTTTGGACCGACAATAACGTCGTGTGCTACGATGTCAGGCTGCGGGTAAGTTCCTGCGGCCGATATTTCACAGCACTTCTTGATCACATTTTGGTGTGGCTGGACATCTTTAGAGAGGAATGGGTCATGTATGCAGTTGTGTACCGTGCAATTAGAAAAGGCGGAAACCGTCGGCCAGAGAGTTATCTCTCGTTGAAAACGCGAAACAGTGGTTTGTAAAGCGGCTTATGTTGAAAATCTGCCTTTTAAAAACCTCTACAGTGCATTTATAGTTGTCAATTTCAGCGTTCACTCGATGAAGAAGAAATGGTAGAGGTCTATGCACTGTGTGATGTCAGTACACATTAAAGAACACCAGATGGCCGAAATTTTCAGATTCCTTCACTACGGAATCTATCGTAATCATATCATAGTTTTGGGATGTAAAACTCCACATGTTATTATTATCATTATCAAGCGTTGTCAAACAAAAAAATTAAATATATTTTGTGAACTCATGTGATGCCTTACTAAGTAACCCTATTTTCCCATAGGTTGCTGCACAAAATGGCCATCACTTCTGTAATCACCTTGAGTCTGCTTGTCGTCGGTAAGTCCAAGCGAGTGGGACATATATTCTTTACCTTTTGATTAGTTCACACAAAATTTGCGTTATACAGCAAGATATTTATTTTCATTAGTGCTATGAGCCTAGTATAACACGTACCTCGTGGGCTGCTGCAGGGAAACATATTCCGAATAGGAGCGAAAGTATAGAAGTTGGAGACAGATAACTTTATAGGAAAAGTTAACGCAGCACTTATGATATAGAGTAGCGTAAACATCCGCACACGTATAAAAAAACCAAATTACCAGCGGCTTTGTACGTATATGTGTAAGAAATATAGCGTTACACAAATGCAATATCAGCTGAAAAAACGACATGAAGACAATACACTGAACTAAAGAGACGTAACACAGCGGTGAGTCTCTAAAATGTAGCGGTGGCTTATCCGATGCCAGTACCTTTTTAGCTCTTTTTTGTAATTTCTCAGTGTGGAAATTAACGGTCCGCCTAAGTTACAACCAGAATCAGCTGACCGTGAGCAGTAGATAACAAACGGGGCTTAGAAACGCCTTCCATTGCAACAAAAGATCAGCCATGTTTTGCTGAAATTAATAACGCCATAGGTCGAGCAAAGGCACACTGTATACTTGTCCATCACACATCATGGGTGACTATCGAAAGAAAGCTATAGCGCCTGGCATATGCATTCCTCCGCCTTTCTCGCAAACAAAGAGACAATTTTCAGGAATACCATACTAAAGTATTGTAACGCTGCGTGTACAATGCCCATGACTTGAAAAGGCGTATGATGCCAATTCCATTCGAAGTTTAAGATGAGCTTATGCAGGGAGTGTGAAGCACGAGCCAGGATTGCTGCTATGACGCCTTCTTCTCGCTTTTATACCTCTTTGATCAGCCACTCATCTCGGTCAGCTGATCGCGTGTTGACAACGTCGATGCACTGTTTTTAGTAGAACCAACAAATGTTCCCAGTAAATCTGAGAAGTATACTATATATTTTAACGAGGTTGTCAAAACTTTCCGTTGTCGACGCAGTAGATGCATGATTGCAACTTTTTACCAGAGGATCCGCTTCACAAGCATATTTTTTTACAGCGAGTTATCATTTTCACTTCTAGAAATTTCGCCATTTCGGAGATATTTGCGTTACGGTTACTTTCATTTAATGGCAAAAATTCATGCTACTTCAGCATCCGTGCATTTGTGCAAAAACATAGAAATCCAATATAGCTGGAGCGAGTATTTCTCAAATATCAAGTTTAAAGTTGACGCGTTTTGTTGCTGATTGTTACGTTCACAAATGTGTGGGATTGTAACGCCTTGGTCATGTATTAGGTGGGATTAAGATTACATCAGCAACAGTCCAGTATACTTTTTGTCTTTATGATTCTCATAAATAACGTGAGTTAGGGCAATACTTGCCGGCGTGCTATTTCGGAGAGCCTTTAGGCGTTGTTGAATTGGCCCTTTGAGAAACGGTTCGTACGTGGACAAAGACTATAGTTGATGTGTCATTACTAGGCTTGTGCGAATAGTGAATTTTAATAATTTTGGCCGATAAATTTCGAATTAAAATTTGAATAGGAGTGTATGTCACACAGTATAAAGGAAAATGGCCATATTTGTCAAAATCCAACTAACCCGCACAATATATTTTAAATATTTAAAAGGACTGCACAAATGCTAATATTTTAAGTTAAAAACTGAAAACATATTATCTTTAAATGATAGCATGATCTGACTATTCGTAGGATGAAAGTGATAACCTGTAATATACATGACATCTTATAACTTGCTATACTTACAGCACAGAAGCCAGTATAACGAGCTTTTCAACTTAAAAAAATAAAATGAATCGACGCGGCTGTAATATCTTCATTTACCATTAAAGTGGGGCCACGCGACATTGCCCAATGCTCTGGATTAATGTGCTTTCACAGCTTGATAGTTTTTTTTTTGCTGTGAAACCACCTTTAAAAAAGATTACAAGCGGTAGTGTACAATTGAGAAGGTGCTTTCACGGCTTTACATTTGTATACTGCAGCGAAACTATCTTTGTAAAAGGATACATGCGGCTTAATTTACACCTATTCGTTCGTTCTGAATACTTTAAAATTTAAACTTTTAACAAATAAATTTGAATTCAAGTGAATTCAAACAAATATTCGAAGTATTAGAATATTGTCACAAGCCTAGTGATAACCCCTTCCCGCAGGCGCACTCGCTGGCTCCAAGCAGGATGCCAACAACTACATCGACACGGTGCTTCGCGACCACCTACCGGCCAACGTGCGTTCGCTCAACCTGGACCCGACTCACTTGCCGGGTTTCAACTTCAAGGTCGACTCGACTGGCCCGACCAACCGGGACCTGAAGGCGCAGTTCCCTTCGGGCATGCTGTACGGCCTGTCGAGCGTGGTGCGCCGTCGCGGCGACTGCGGCGTACCGGGCTGGCAGGGCTCGAGCGTCACCACTGGCTGCTACGTGTCCCTCGACTCGCTGCGACTCACCTTCGACGGAAGCGTAAGCGGCTACAGCCTTCTCGGTGGCAAAAAGAACGTCAGCCTCGACCTGGTCGTCGAGAAGACCAATGCCTTCGTTGAGGCCACGGCACCCTTCGGTGAGTGTGCGCCTGCCGTTGGACGTTTAGAGTTAAAGAGAAGAAGGAACAAGAACTCAACAAGAATAGGAAATTAGGCTGGTTGGAATACGTTCACAGTCAACAGCGCAAAAGGACAAAAGATCCTGTCTTCTGGTGTTCTCTTTTTACAGTGTCATTTCACGCTATTAACCTTGAAGACGCGTGGACATTTTTTCATCGCCGCTGGCAGATTGGGTATCGTTTTGTAGCTTTTCTCCATAAGGTTTTCTTTTCGTTTTTCTTCAAGGTATGGGGTCACGTGTGGGGGAATGTGTTAAAACGCGATAAACACTGGTGATTATTTGTCTACAATACAAATCACATTTTTAGGCGCCCATGAGCAATATAAGCAAGTGCTATTTCTGTTAATTTCTATTAAATAAAGAAACCAATAAAAGAGAGCCCTACGTGAGCCCGCATAGCTCAAGTTTCACAAATTTGAAAGCCTAATCTTGTAGGGTATAAAAGAAGCCCTGGCCAAGACAATGAACGAAAACAAATTCAATAAAATGATGATTAAAACACAGTACATAGATAACCAAAGGTGGAGGAGAGGAGGAAACGAAGTACCAAGAGGTTAGCCAGTTCTCAGACCGGCTGGCTACCCTGTTCTGGGGTAAGGGAAGTAAAAAGATAACAAAGAAAGGTGTTAGAAATAGGAGGAAAAGAAGAAGAAAAAAATAAGAACATGATAGAAGACACTGCTCATAGTCTGCCTTAGAGAACAGCTGCTCGTAAGAAGCGCAACAACACTATCAATGCCTTGCGAGCCGATGATTGTCGAGGAGACAATCGTCCATCATTTCTGTGAGTGTCTTCTGTCCACCAAGAACTTTAAAACATGCTTGATAGACTTGAAAACCACCC